ATCAAGATCCTGCCCTAGCTGGTTTGGCTCAGCCGATAGAGCGTCAGCTTTCGGACTGAAGGGTCCCAGGTTCAATTCAGGTCAAAGGCACATGCCCGGGTGGCATGCTTGATCCCCAGGTGGAGGCATGCAGGAAGCAGCTAATAATGATTCTCTCTCATCATTGATATTTTCCCCTCTCCCTTCCTCTCTGAAATCAATAAAAATATATTTAAAAAAAAAAAAAAAAAAAAAGATCAAGATCCTGTTTGGTGCCCAGCCCATGTGACTCAGTGGTTGAGCATTGGCCCAGGGACCAGGAGGTCACTGGTTCCATTCCTGATCAGGGCACATGCCTGGTTTGCATGCTCTAGTTGTGGGCTCGATCTCTAGTGGGGGCATGCAGGAGGTAGCCAGTCGATGATGTACCTCTCTCATTGATGTTTTTATCTCTCTATCCCTCTCCCTTCCTCTCTCCTTAAAAATCAATAAAAACATTTAAAAAAATAAAAATAAAAAAAGAAGAAGAAGAAGAACCATCACCTGTGTGGCCACTTGGCTGGCCCCTGCCTCGTTTCCCTCCGTTCTTCTTCCCTGCGCTCTCTCCACTCCAGCATCCAGGCGTCCTCCATTCTTCTGATCTGGGCACAATGTCACTTTTTCTTGGAAGCTTTTCCCAATGCCCTAATTTGGTGAGATCCCAGTATTACTGCCCCAAGTGACTCACCATAAAAGCCCTTCCTACAGTTACATCTTATAGATAGTTCTGTATGTGGTTAATGACTGTCTCCCCCAGCCCTTCCAGTCTTTAAGTTCCAAAAGGGCAGGGCCTTGATCAGTCTTTGCCCATCTCAGTACCCCAGTGCCTAATGCAGAACCTGGCTCAGAGCTGGCATTCAAATAATTTGTAAAATGAAAGAATGAATTTACATTTGAATATGGCTGAGTATATAGCATTTGTTTGTAAGAACAGATCTGGACAGGAATGAGATAGTACTGATGACTTAATTCCAGGGACTTGTGAAGGGGCTTCAGGAGGTAGAGTTGTGGGATCCCTTAACACACATGTGTCAAACACAAGGCCCGCGGGCCAAATCCGTCCCGCCAGGCCTTGCAATGTGGCCCGCACCGCGCTGTCATCACTGCACTCCGCTGCGTTTCCATCACAATGACAGTTTATGACTGTTCAGTAAACCATTCGGCCCGCGATTTAGGCTGGATTTTAGATTTTGGCCCCTTCTCTGATTGAGTTCGACACCCCTACCTTAACATGACCCGCGTGGTTCAGGGCCCACTCAGGGTCCGGTTTCTGGAGAAGACCGCACACTAAAATGAAGAGAGAGACTGGAAAAGAGTTAATTTGGGAAAATGGGGCCAAGCGGGAAGTCGCCTGGGAAGTCCACCTCTAGTGGGAAGACTAACCCCTGCTCTGGCCTTTTACCATTCCTTTTATTGATATTCTGGGACAAAGACATCTCTTAGGCAGGAAGTTCCAACAACAGAAAATCAACAAGAATTTACATATGATTAAAAATTAAAGTTGCCTCAACCACCACTACCTCAACTAGATGATGAATTAATAGCTCTGACCATTCAGAGCCATCAAGGTTGGCCAGCTCTTTTTACATTTTATTACCAGTGACATTAGGTTTTGGTTCCAGTCATAGAGTCAAGACAGAACTCCCAGGTTATCTCCTTCACAGTTTTGCGCTGTACCCAGCTCTACTTCCTTGTAAGTACTAATCTGGCTAACTCTCCAGAGTGATAACCTGAGGTGCTACAAGAATCTAGAGTGCCATCTAAACTGCCATGGAAGTCTATATCATTTCCAACTTCCTTATCATTTTATTATTATAGTCCAGCTCCTGAAAATTGTTGACCCAGTTTTAACATGCAAATTTTAATCACTATTGTGCTCCTCTAAGCTGTCAGCTCCTTAAGAACTCTGCGGTGCTCAGTCCTCAATGGAGCTCTAAGTAGATGATGGGTAGATTGGTGGATGAAAGAAGGAAAACAAAGATTAAAATTCTTATGACTTGGTGATCTCATCTAGGGCTCTCAAACTCAGAGCCCAAGAGGCCAGAATGATTAGAAAGGAAGAATTAGGACAAAGGTCACTATACTCACACGTGATATCTAAGTGCTGGGGACTGGGCTATCATTCAATCTAGAGGCATTCAGGTGGAAAATTCTAGCATCTGAGCCTGCTAAGGAGAACTTGTAGAGTCAAACTTAGCCTGGCAGAGATCAATTTGCAGCTTCTGACTAGTAAGGCATTATTGTTGAAAAGATGTCCATGTCCTAATCCCCAAATTTATGAGCATGTAATCTTTGATGACGAAAGGGACTTTTCAGCTGTGATTCAACTGTGATTACTCTGTATAACCTGGGTGGGCCCATTGTTATCACCAGGGTCCTTGAGTAGGCAGGAGGGCCAGAGTCAGAGAGGGGTTGCAGGTGCAGCTCTGCTGGTTTGGAACGGGCACAGGGGGTATGGGAAGCCTCTGGAAGCTGAGAAAGACCAGAGAACACTCTGCCCTTCTTCCAGAGGCTCACACTCCTGTTAACGCTTGCTTTTGGCCCCATGAAATGCATTTTGGACTTCTGACCACCAGAACTGTAAGATAATAAATTTGTGTTGTTTTAAGCCACTAAATTTGTGCTACTTTGTTATAGCAGCCATAGGAAGCTAATACACTGGTTAAGAGTATTGAGACTACAGAGACAGAATGCCTGGATTTAAGTTCTCGCTTTGTTATGTGCTAGCCATGTGACCTGGGGCAAGGTATGCAACTTATTGTACTTCAGTTTTTCCATTTGTACAATAGAAATGATAGTCCATACTACCTCAAAAGGCTGCTATGAAGTTTAAATGAATTAGCACATATACAGTTCTTAGAACCATGCCTGCATATTTTAGGCATAACATCAGCATTAGCTTATTAAATGACTATTTATTATTTACAGAAAAAAAAGCACAGACCCAGCAGGGTCCAATACTTTGTCCAAGTTCAGAGCAGAGCCAGAACTAGAACCCAGACCACTTAGCCCCTGTGCTGATTAGAGCTCTGTCATTACAATGCCGCAATATCACTTTCCTACCGAATCTCATTTTCAAAGTCAAATAGTAATTATAGCACGTGCCCTTCAGGAGGGCTTAGCTACATGTTACAGCTATGATTAGCCTGGAGGTCCTCATACCCTTTCAAGAGAAAAGAAACATTAAGGCCCTCATTAGAAATCATGTGTGTTTAACTAATGGGGAAGAATTTTTCAACCAAGCTAATGGGGAAGAATTTCCTCTGACTATAGTTGAGTCACTGTTGTCTTGTCCCCTTCAAACATTTTTTATAAGAAAAATGAAACCCAGACAGAATCAGGCAGTGCATCTAAAATGGAATGGATGGGCTGCCTGGCACAAGCCAGTGGGAAAATTCTGCAGACACTTCTGGCCTAGACTCCAAAACAGTAGCCTGACTTCCAAGAAGCCAGCTCCACCTTGACTCTGGAGGACTTGTTTAAAACATTGTCTCAGAACCTTGGCTTCATTCAACACCTGGGTGCTACCAAATGACCCCATCCAGGTAGCTAAACATCCCTGTAAAAGAAGCAAGTCTTCTTAGGGAAAATAAATTAAGAGCCTCTCAGACGCTCATTCTCAGCGGAGCCAGTGGCTGCATTCCAGACCCCTGACGTTTGCTCAGTTGTGTGATCTCAAGTCTCCTCCTGCAGATGAGAACACAGTTCAGAAAGGACTTCAAGACTGCTGAGTCCAAGTTTAGAACCTCCGATACTGTGAATTTCCAAACGTGCAGCTGTAACTTAAAATGCTTTGGAATACAGTTTCTAGCAGTTTCCAGAATGCTGACCAAAAGTTCTTTTTCTGGCAATGAAGCCCACTCCTAGCATGTGGTGTTGATGTTGGGGTATCATGAGCTGACTGTTTTCTAGCCCAGCTCAATGAAGAGAACTGCAAGTGACAATAGCATCGAATTTAAAATATTTACACTGACATCTGGGTGTCCAGATCCTAACGTGTGAAGATCTGGCACTTTAAACACTAGTTGCAGATACTTGAGGAGGGACCAGAACCTCTACTGCGAGGAGAGCACTCCTTTCCATAGGCCCTGATGGAAGACTGTGAGAAGCCTCTAGCCCTTCCACAATTACCCAGGACACCTCATCCCAATGGGGGATAGAGAATGCTGGGTAATGGAGAGGTTGTTAAAGAATTCCTAAGAACTTCAAAAATACGAATGCCTCAGATTGCTGAGGCCCACTGAGTTTGTGTTGGCCATTCCTGGAACGTCCGTCACACAGGTGTAGTTCTCCCCTTTGGTGTCCTTCCCATTCTCTGGTGAATTCTACCCGGTCACTATGTGGAGCCTGCCCACTGTCTGTCCCCACCCCCTGCTGTTGCATCATCTCAGGTTCATGGCCTTGGTGTGTTTCACTAAGATGTGGTTAAATTATGTGCCCGGCAATAGGAGTGTCCCTTGGGTTCCTGTTCAGTTGACATTCCAGGGCCAATAGGCCAGTAGTGATGGGTGGAGATGAGAAGAAGAGCAGCTATTGTTCTTTGCAGACAGACAAGCTTCTTGCATTTCCCTGGGGCCATGGGCTTCTTTCTATTCTAACAGCTCTGCACAATCGTGGCAGGAAGCAGGCTCTAGCCTCAGGGTTGGAGAGAAAGGCAGAGGCCAAGGTCCCAAGTGTGGAGGCCACAAGGAAAGAAAGGGACTTCTGTGGGGAGCAGTCCCTTGCCTGAGGCACTGGAGGAGCCGGGGGAGGGGCCTGCAGGAGGAAGAGGGAGGGTCCACTGGTGCGGTGATGTGACGTGAGGCGCCTGTCCTGGGTTGAAATTGAGGAACTGAGGCTATGGTCTAATCAGTCCCTCACAGCCCAGGATGGAACAGGAACTCGGGCCACCGGCTCGGCCTCATGTACCTACGAGGGGAGAGATTAATGACCCAAGGAGGATATGATATGGTCCAAAAACTTTTCCTGGACTTTTTCCGCAGGCGGCTAAGCCAGAGGCCTACCGCAGAGGAGTTGGAGCAGAGGAACATTTTGAAACGTGAGTGACTAAGCCCATGGCAATCCTGATGTCTGTGTGGTGGCTTTTGTTATGATTTAGTGGCCGGCCCCAAGGTCTGTCCTCTGTGCCTGGGTGGAAATGGTTGGGAAGGTGGCGGCTGAGGCTCCATCCCTGCATGTCAGGCCAGCCAAGGCCAGCTCCCCACCGAGGGCAGGTTCCAATCCACGTGGCTCCTTAGAAGCTCCAGACACCCCTTTCCTCCCTGTGGGGGGCTGTAAGTCAGAGAGAAGCTGAGAATGTGTTGTGAGAGCACAGGCCACCCAAGGATTGTGAAGGTGAGTTAGTGTGACCTTTAAACCAGAATTGCCTTGAAAACTGCAAATACTACATGGAAGGCAAAAATAAGGCAAATGGCCATTTGACACCTGGGACTAGAAAATGTGACTTTCCGTTGCATCTGGCTGCTGCTGATCAAACTCTCCTCCCTCTGAATACTGAATTTAAAGTCTAGGGAAGTGTTCCAAAAAAAAAAAAAAATACTTTATGTTCATCTCTCATTGCCCCCTCCCCAAAAGCTGGCTGCTGGGATATTACCTAATGCCCTCATTCAAGAAAAACTCCCTCACTGTGGCTGTGGCTGTGGACAGAAAAAACAAACCAGCCCCTTGTTTGGCTTAGGACACAGATATTTGACTATATCCAGAGAATCCACTTGGTGCTTAAAAATGTATAGATATATAATTTTAATATTGCATAATGTATCATGGACACGGGTACAACAATTAAACAGTAAAATCTCTGCTCACATTCTACTCAGCTATTGCTACCACTCTCACAAACACGTTTCGCAAGATGGCCAACAAGTATTCTTTGTGTAATTCACTACCCTGTCTTCCTACGCGTACATCCCCTGCTAATTTCTCTCCAGAAAAGAGAACTAGAATTTCATAGAAATGCTCAACTGTGCACGTGTACACACGCTCACACACGCTCCAATCATGTGAAAGCTGTTTGCGTGGGAGGGTATTTCCACTTAAAACAGACTGAAATGTTCTTGGTTTTACCTTTCTCCCCTTAGTCCCTGTGGTCTTTGACCTGGTCAGCGTGGGGTATTTACTGAGGGTGAGCTGTTCATTTCCCCTGGGAAGGCTGGGGCCGAGGCAGCCCCTCCAGAGCTCTCTGCATGGTGACTGCCCTTGGCACCCTGCCCTCAGGCCTCTGCTTCCGTCCTCAGTGGCTGCTATATTTAGGTCTGGCCTTTCTCAGTCTAGAGTGCACCTCACAGACTTCCTAGTTCTCTAGGAATTTATGTATATATTTCTAACAAGGGGCACCCACTAAGGTTTGAAAGCTTAATATGCTGTAAATAGAGTTAGAACTTCTTTCAGATGATTTCTATGGTCAATAAAGCACTTTCGGCCCCAACCAGACACCTGATCTATTATAAACTCTCTGTTGGAGAGAAAGAAAAACAGAAAAGCTTCTGTTTATTCTTAAAATAACAAATCGGATAAATGTGCTTTCTCCTCCCTCTGCCTTTTCATCCCCACGCACAGGCCTACAGAGATCTGTTGGCTTCTGAAGGAATGTCTATACATGGGCTAGACTATATTGGGGGTCTCTCACGGACTCCTAAACCCAAAGAGGCTAAAAAACTTCAGGTTTCAGAAATTAGTTCTCAGCAAAAGCAAGGGTTTGAAAAGAGGTGGTGCCAAAGCCCCAGCTCACCTCTGGCTTCCCGAAGGCACCGCTCACACCCCACAGCTCACTACCACCAACCTTTCTATCCTTCCCCCACCACCACCCCCTCTAACCCAGACCCCTGGGAGATCGTGGGTTGGCTCCTTGCCTTGGGTTTTTATCGCCATCCAGAAAAATACATCTTAGAGGCAGTTGCTCATGTCCAGGAAGCCTGGGGGAGGCTTAGATTCAGGAGATCCAGGAAGCTTAGATTATGTCCATGTTTCCTTCTTGTTCCTCCTTGTCCTATTCAAATAGCTGAATATTAAAGAACCACTTGATTCAAACAGCTCGATCATTTCGCAGTTCCAAAACTTGTTGAAAATAAACCCATTTTTCCCCTTCATTCTAGAACATTGTTTCCTACACGTTTTTCTTTATTCCCATCTGATTGTGAAACAAAGCTTATTTTCTGAGTTTAAATCCTGTGAGGAGCCATCTCTCCGAAGGTGCTAGGGAGGGCACTCAATGAAGCAGGTCTGGGTCTGGCATCCAGCCCACCCCGTCAGCCCCGTGGTCAGTGCTTGCTTTGTCAGCAGCCAGTGAGGCACTGTGCACACCTGAGCACACAATGAGCACACTGATGGTGGCAGCGGGTGTGATGACATCGTGGGACTGCCCTGGCCTCTCTCCCCAGTTGCCTAGTGGGGTTGCCTTGGTATCACTGGCCTGAGAAAACATTACCCTGCGTTTGTAAATGGCTTTGAACTAAAGATATAGATTCCATAGGTGGTCTTGGGGCTCGGTCCCTGAGAGGGACCTGGGAATTGCACATAGGAGATGACAGCTCTGTGTTCTGTCACAGAATGCCACTCAAGGTTTGGAAAGGGGCCTGTAGGGTGAGGAAGCCCTGACTAGAGCCTGAGGCCAGTGACCAGTAATAAGGAGGAGGGCCAGACACTAGGGCAGTGTCCCTAGTGAGAAAAGAGTGGTGCTGTCTGTCTCATTGGCCCTGTAGCCTGTGAGCAGCCACTTCATCCTCTGGGCTTTCCCATCCTCATTTACAAACCCAGAGTGGGAGGTGGTTTCTCAGCCCCTCATGTCCTTAATACTCTGCACATTTTAACCAAGTGCCCGAGCGGCCCCTGGCACCCCCTCCCAGACTAGACCTTTCCCTCCCTGCCACCTGCAAATGCAGCTGTCTGAGCTCTCCCCTTCTTCTGAGTCTTGCTGTCTGCCGCCCAACTTATTTATCTCTGTAAGGTTAGTGCATACTAAGATGTTAATGGCTAACTATTTTAACGGGCTTTTACCCAAAAGAAATTTGCATTTTTATAGGAATTCTGAGAGGGAGATCAGATCTTTACATCCTAAGGAAGGAGCTTTTGTGTGGGTGGCTAGGGGCACTGTGGGGCAGGCTACTGTGGGGACCTCGGCCCATGGCAGGCCATGGCATTTCTGGTGCTGCCCCCAAACAGCATCCTGATCCCCGCAGGGATCTTGCCCCTGAGCTCTGCACTGAACAGCATGGTTCCACCCGCGGGAGGAGTGGCTGTGGCTGCTGCCTGCCGTCAGGGCTGACAGGAGGGCAGGGTGGGACCCACTTCTGTGCACAGGGGCTTCCCTCTGTTAAAGATCTGCCCTATATTGAAACAACTGAATTGCAAGTGTGCATGATACGATACATTAATTCAGTTATTGAAATACAATTAAACACTAGTGATTTTTCTCAAGATCCAGCAGGTAGAAGCAGAGACCTTTGCCTCTCATGCTTTTAAACAATATTAAACTTAGAGCCATGCTTCCATTCCTTCCCCAGAAAGAAGAGATGTTCAAGGTCATTCCGTTAGCTGGAAAGGAGAAAAAAAGCCCCCGGGTTCTGTCCTGCAAACCTCTGCTCCCTTCCCCAGGCCCTCTTAGCTGCGGCTCTATAAACATCTGATGAGCAAGTCACCCACATAGTAAGCTGGTAAGGTGCAGGCTCCGGGCCTGTTCCCTTAAGGCACTCCTTAAAGGTCCCAATGCAGGCAATTGTGCCCCACACGCTGGCCACACGCATGCTCAGTGGACTTCTCGGAAGATTCAAAGAATTAATGGAAGCAGGGCTTGCGAAAGGTGAGCGTTTAGAAATTCCTCTTTGTGCAGCCAGGCTGGCCTTTGCATTCCTCCTCTTGTTTCTGCACAGGTGAAAGGCACCCCGACTCCCACAGGGCACTGAGCCCTGTGGGGACTGTGAGGCTGGGGCAGAGTGGAGGGAGGCCCACCTCACTGCTGACAGCACCCTGATCTTTTAGGACCTCCTTCCTTGTCTTACAAGCTACACCTCTCATCCAGCAATGCTGCCGGGAGACTGGAAACCCCAGGTGACAGAAAGGAAACAAAATAGGCAGGTCAGTCTGCTCACCACCAGTTTGAAAGTGCCCCCAGAGGCAGAAGCAAGGCCAGGGTAGGAAGCACGCTTTCTCTTCCCCTCTCCTAACCGTGAGGTGCTCGGCCCGGAGCCTCGAAGGCTCATAGTATGCCTCTGTGTGCAACACTGTCAACAGAATCTAAAGCATCTTAAATGTTTCTTTCAGCTCGGAACGAACAAGAGGAACAAGAGGAGAAAAGAGAGATCAAGAGGAGGCTAACTCGAAAGGTGAGAAAGTTCTTGAGCGCCGGGCAGGAGAGGGAGGGAGGCCGTTTGCTCCTGTGCCCTCTGCTGGCCTCAGTGGTCTGCAGCTGCCTGGCCCACTGGGAGAATCTCCTCTGGCAGAGTGGGCAACTATCTTGGCTCTCCAGGACCTCTCCACGGGAGCATGGTCAATGCAGCTGCATGACCTTCGGTCTTGTCTGGTGACATTCTGTGTTGCTTGATTTTTGTGATGCTCACCCGCCCCCAAACAACTTGATGTCAAGTGCATTACATTTTCAATGACAGTGTGTATTTTATTTTTAAAAGTGTACCATTAGCCATCAAGCAATCGGAAACTCATAGTCAAAGCAGTAGTTTAAATATAAGTTATTTGCTATGACCTTGGGAACATTTGAATTTTCCTTGCCTCTCTGACACTCTTCCTTAACTATTAACTAAGAGCAGTTTAACTTGATTATGCTAAATCAATTTGGAGTATTGAATCAGGAAAAAGCCTAAAGTACTGATAAATTTTTGAAGATGTTTGAAAAGCACTTAAGATAGAAGACATAAACTAGAATTTTTATATATTTTTAACCCCAAAAATAGATGGCTTGGCAATGCACTGTAGACCCAAATGGGTTTAATCCTACATGAGTGGTCTCTTTAATAAGAAACTCTTATTGAGGCTGTTCCTGGATGCTGTTGGCAAGTTTAATTAATTGAGGACACACAAGATATAATAGTATGTTCTGTCAGACGAGAGTGGTTGCAGTCAGCCTCCTGCAGTGCCCAAGGTTCTCAAAACTCAGAGACAGTTAAGAGTCCCATTAAAATTAATTTTTAAAATGTTTATTAATGGATGCTTCTCCCTAGAAATATTATGCAAAGGAAGACATTCAAAGATCCTAAAATATCACACCAATTACAAAGGTGATGACTCCTGTTTCTCAATGCTCTCCTCTCCCTTAGCACATCCCAGGCTTCTGGCGATGAGCCAAATGCCATCCCAATGAAAAGGAGCAGGATACACAAGTGCCTGAAACCAGTGACAGGCTGGCATGCTCCTGGTGGGAACTAGAGCAAGAGCTAGGTGAGCTCACTTCATTAAGGCGCCCTCACCTCAGCCACCATCTGATTCTTTACCTTATGACCATCCAGTCTTTGGACACAGGGCACCCTTTGTCCTGAGAGTGAGGAGTGAGGACGATGGGAGGGAAAGGATGTTAGCTTATTCAAAGTGTAACCTTGAAATGGCTACAGTATCAAAAAGTGGTTCATTTCTGATACAGAAAGGTCTAGACATTCAGAAAAATTTGAAAATCCAGTTTTCATAAAGTTCATTGGAGTTGGTTGCTGGCACCCAAAAATTCTTCTAAAGGTCAGGGTTTCTAAAAACTAATAATAGGTAAACATTTAAGTACCCATTTAATTCTTATCTCTTTAAAAGAAGTATATAGCCTTGTTGGTGCGGCTCAATGATTGAGCATCAACCCATGAACCAAGTTCTCGGTTTGATTCCCAATCAGGGCATATGCCCAGGTTGCAGGCTCAATCCCCGATAGGCAGGAGGCAGCCAATCCATGTCTCTCTCATCGATGTTTCTATCTCTCTATTCCTCTCCCTTCCTCTCTAAGATCAATTTAAGAAATCCTATTTTATAGGATTTATAGTTTTGTAGAGAAGAACTGCATCATTTGGCTCGGGGAGAGGGAGGAGGGTTTCCTCTCACACCATCTCCCCTGGGGTGGTTGCACAGGGACAGGGACCTCAGAAAGCCCGTCATGTTTGCAGGTCTCCCAGAGAAGGTAAATGCTCTTCCTCCTCCTGGTTTCCTGTCCTTCCCCGGGACTGGCTTGGGGAAATAGAAATAATGAGCTGAGTTGAGAGGTCAGTTTTAAGGGAGAGACTAGAAGCAGCTTTCACCTCTCTTTTTGTGGAGAGAGATGTGAGCTCCCAGAAGGTGGAAATGTCCTGTCCCAGGAGAATCAGGGCTGCTCTAGGGCAGACCAGAACCACCTGGAGGGGGAGCTCCATAGTCCAGGCAGGTGGGCCCTGCCGTGGCCCAGAGGCCTCTGATCCCCAGGTCTTCCTCCACTGGCCTGGAGGGAGCTACGGCTGCCTTGGTCCTGTCTGCAGCCTTGCAAACCCTTCTCCATCCCATTCAGTACCAGCCAGACAGGCATCTAGTCATGCCTGCCCTGGCGGGCCGTTGGCAGTGAGTGGAGCGCTCGGCACCAGGGAGGTGCGTGACAACAGCATGAGACGGTGAACAGCCAGGTGGCTGGGCTCCCTGGGGGGTGTGTGTGTGTGTGTGTGTGTGTGTGTGTGTGTGTTCTCTAGGCCAGTGTTTTTCAACCTTTTTTGGGCAAAGGCACACTTGTTTCATGAAAAAAATCACGAGGCACACCACCATTAGAAAATGTTAAAAAATTTAACTCTGTGCCTATACTGACTATATATAAAGTAATTCTCTTGAATAGGAATCAAATAAACACAAAGAAAGTATTTTATAATTACTTTATTATGAAATATTAAGTAAACAAAATAGTGAAAAATTATAAAATTCTTGTCTTGTCTGCACCTACGGCACACCAGGCAACATCTCGAGGCACACTAGTGTGCCGCGGAACAGCGGTTGAAAAACGCTGCTCTAGGCCATTGCAGTAGGATTGCATCTGACTGCGTCTCCCATTAATAGGACTAAATACAGTCCAGGGCCTAGAGAAAAAGTTGCTTTTAAATAATATGGGTGAAACATGAATTGACAGCATCCGAAGGAGAGGGCAGCTGCTTTGCTCCAGAAGAAAGGAGCCCAGGGACAGGAGGAGGCAGTAGAAACATCAGCCTTAGGTAACAGAAGTACAAAAGCGGGTGTTGGTGGGCGACATCGGGAGATGGTTGAGTTCTCACCGCAGAACAATCCGAAAGGCCCATCCGAGGCTTCCTTTGCAAAAACGGGGCCTAGCTCTGCCTTCCTGGGCTGGCCTTTTGTTTCACTTGACCTTCCTGAGGACTGGAGTCTCCTCCGACCTTCAGACCATGTTTTTGTGTCTGAAGCATTTTTTGTATGTGAAATGATGCACTAGCTCGTCTTTCAGAGAGCACTACATTTGACACAGATGTGTACTCACAAATCCAAAATAAGGTAAAACCTTTGTGTGAGATTCCTGTCACCGTGATGCTAGAAGTGAGACAAATGTGAGGAAACCCTCAACAGACACCCATTCACCCCCGGACAGGCTGCTTGCAGAGACCAAGACACTGGCATGTTACCAGAGACAGCGAGGCTGAGCACAGGCCTGGAGGAGGCTCCAGCAATAATGGAGCTCGGTGAACAGTAAAACACTCTCTCTCTCTCCTAGAAAAGTGCGGGTGCAGGAGCAGAGAGCCTTGCCCCTCCCTTGCTGCGTGATGCATAGTGGCCTCTCGGGACCTCATTTTGCTCACCTGTAAACCCACGATGGGCAAGTGATCCAAACTCCTCTTTGTGACCGTGCCCCTCTTCCTCCCGCAGCTCAGCCAGAGGCCCACAGTGGAAGAACTCCGGGAAAGGAAGATCCTCATCCGCTTCAGCGACTACGTGGAGGTGGCTGACGCCCAGGACTATGACCGCAGGGCCGACAAGCCGTGGACCCGCCTCACCGCTGCCGACAAAGTAAGGAGAGGGTTGAGGAGAGGGGGGCAGGTGCCCACGCCCAGGTTTCTCCCCTACCCTGGATTCCTCGTTGCTGCCTGGGACGCTGCATTAAAACGAACAGCAAAGCCATGGCCAGGGTCTCAGGAATGGAGCCCTCAGTGCCCACGGGGCAGGTTGGGAGTGCCATGTCCCCACCACCTTTCACCAGGGCTCCAGATAATTGGGAGCGGTCACTGAATGGATTCCTCACGGCTCTAGAGAAGGAGCAAGATGGACATGTAATATTGTGCCGTTTTACGGGAGAAGGAAAGGCAGTATGGAGATACTGCCCAGAGAAAAGAACGGCATCTGTGGGGTACCCAGTTGACCTTCTGAGCAGGGCCATTGGCTGTAGCACCCCAGGGGTGACCCACAACCAAGAGGGGCTGAGGCCACTGTCCTAGCAAAAACACAAAGCACAGAGACAGCAAAACATGTCCCTGCACTAAACCTCCACTGACTAGAAAGCAGAATACAAACAATCTGAAGTTGAGTTTGTATTATAAGAAACGCAATGATGCACATGATACCATTCTTCCCTGCCCATCAGACCTCGTATTAGAATTAAACTCTGCTTGGTCATTGTTTGGGATTCTAGTCCAGTCCCCATGAGAACTGGAGGGCAGGGGAGCCACTGCACGTAAGGACACTGATGAGGTCAGAGGCAGAGACCTCCCGGAAACGGCCTCCCACATGGGGTCAACCCCCAGATCCTGAAGAGTGGAAACTCTGCCCTCCTCTTAAATGCAGCACATCTCTTCCCTGTGCAGCAACTTGGTGAGGCCCAGGAACTGGCTGTTCCAACTTCACCCTCAGGTGGGAATGTATGCACAGGTGACTGGGGTCCCTCCGCCAAAGGATTGGATTTATACCGGTTGCCCACAGTACTTAACTAAATTTGACCGAGCATAAACTAAACACAGAGACAAATATTAAGATGCACGAATCACACACGGTTTATTTACCAGAGTCCTGGTGCTTTCCAGAAGCCTAGGCAGGTCACCTGGAGATCCACGCCGACAGACACACACACCGGATAGGAACACGCCTCGGAGCGTCTCAGTCCCCATCGAGGCCTCAGAGGTTCGGCTCACGGGCAGAGGGACAGCTCACTGCGGCAGAGCTTCACGCAGTATCTCGGACAGGGAAAGAAGGGAGCGGAGAGAGCACGGCGGGTGGAGGAGCCCTTGTGGTCTCTGACCAGTGCCTCCAGGTCCCTTCTTTTATAGCCATTTCTGGGTGTTCCCTTGTTCCTTCTGGGGGTAACCAATGGGTCTTCAGTACTTTTTGCCTCGCTTTTCAACTTTCCAGATAAGCACATGTTAGGGCGTTCACACAGTCAGGGCTCAGAGTCACTTTAAAACTTAAGTTTTACAAAATGGATTCAAGTCACACAAAATGGAGTTACTTATACTAAGCCTTAAACACATTTCAAATAATTTCTTTTACTTAAAATAAAATCAGAATAAGATCAGAAATACAATTCACACTTAAACTCATAAAAATAAATGTTTTCACTCCTATTTTAAGTCACACAAATAATTATTCTCACACTGTTTTAAATCCTTAAAATATAAATCAAACATCACACTAATATAACTATAACACTGGCCCAGACAGAACCTGCCCCCCAGGTGGTGGTGTCTGTATTGTCCCCAGAGGAGGGTCCTGGCCCTGGTTCTCTGGCTCACACTGGCTGCCGTGTGCTTGCTCACCAAGGGCAGGGGAGCCACAGGTGTCAAGGGCGACTCCAGCTCTGGGGAGCTGTTGGGTGGGGAGTGGACCCAGCGCCACCCAGGCTGCTGGGGATGGGAAACCCAACAGGGTCTTCCTTCTAACTGGCCCTTAGATGCTCACATGCCTTCCTTTCAAGAGGAGCCACTGTGATGCTCCCTGAAGACTTCTCCAGCCTCCAACTCTCAGTGCTTTGACATTCCCATGAAAGCAAATGCCGACCTTAGAAAGAGCTCCGTGGAAGGGCACACATTTAAAAATCCTGCCCCTGGCATTCCTGTGTTCCAGACACTCCTCACCTGTCCCTTTGCCTGGTTCCCCAGCCCTGCAGGTGGGCTGCAGCCATGTGAGTGGGCAATGCTGGAAGGATGAGGCTACTCAAGTTTACCGCAGAGTGTACTAAGGGTCTTCAAGACGTCCCATCCACCCGTATGGTGAAAAAGACTGCCTCAGCTTCAAGAGTCATGAAAGAGCAGAGGGTTTACAAATCAAAGGGAAGGAGGGTGACCCTCCCCTCCTAGAAGTATCTACTGTGAGGCACTGAATGGCTGTGATGAGTTCAGATTGTTTACCTAAGGAAGGTGAGAGGTTGGCACATTATTTTTTAAAGTATGTTATTTATTTATTTAGAGAGGAAAGGAGAGTGATAGAGAGATAGAAACACTGATGACAGAGAAACATCATCGATCGGCTGCCTCCTGCACACCCTTCTCAGGGGATTGAGCCCTAAACCTGGGCATGTGCCTTGACCTGGCATCGAACCAGTGGCCTCTTGGTTCCTGGGTCAATGCTCAACCACTGAGCTACATTGGTCAGGGACATTTAAGTGTATACATATATAAGGAGCCCAGGAGTGTGGGCAGGTGTGCACACTATGGATGTTGGAGGAAACAGCTCTGTGAAGAAAGAAAGAAGACAGTACCTTGGGCAATAGCCTATGCAGAGTCATTCACGGTTTAGATTTAAGGGCAGTAGGTCTAAAGGATATCTCAGGTGATTAGTTTTTTTTCTCCCAGTGAAAACTCCACTTTGTATGGCTTTGTAAAAGGAAAAAAAGAAATAAAATAAGAAGTGAGCTCCTTCCCATCTGCCCCCTCAGCATACTCATGGGCTTCTCTCCATTCCAGGCTGCCATTCGGAAGGAGCTGAATGAATTTAAAAGCACTGAGATGGAAGTTCATGAGCTGAGTAGACATCTAACAAGGTTAGTATCGAAGTGTATTTTTCCTTCTCAAGTTGTAATATCTATTTCCAAACGACTTACCTGTTTCTCGGTCTAAGTGGTGTGGTGGGCACGTGAAGGAGAAGATAAATGTTTGCTTTCAGTTCCCACTGTGGCCACTGAGACTGGGGTGGGGTGAGGGCCATTCAGGCCCAGGCTGATAGCCACTTTTAACTCATTCAAACTGAAGAGCCAAGTGCCATAACCCTGAGGTGAGGTTCACAATACTTAAGCCGAGGAGAAAAGATCGTTGTCAATTGAACGCCAGTTGGCAGGGGCCAACCCTAGTTCACTTCTGTGATTCCCTGTCATTCTCCCAGGTGGTCTTGTGTGGTGCTGCTTGGGGAACTGAACTCAGAGAGATAATGAGCTTATGTAGGGTCACTCAGTGACAGAATAACTGACAATTTTTAGACACTCCCTTGGGGGAGCATTCTGAGAAATGGTGCCTAGACTTACAGATACAAGGTGCCAACATAAGGTCTCCACCTCACTGCCATGTCTGGGCTGCAGGCCACCAGGGCCCACTGACTAGTCTGTAGGAATTCTGATTAAACTATTCCAAAACCGAAGGTGGATTCAGTGGACCTCAGGGGTTCTGTGGATGTGCCCTGATAGGAGATGTATACCCGCCTCTGCTGTCAGAGGCAAGGACTCTGAGGACGGATGAAGTGGGCCATGGAACCGGACACCTCAGGCAGTCACTTGGTCTTGATTCATTTATTTCTTTTCCCAGGTTTCACCGTCCTTAACAGTCAGATTCCTCTTGAGTGCTATGCTGTCTTCAAAACATAAATTTATAAGAACCATAAGTGCTGGTATTTATTCACTTCCCATCACGGTGTAAATCTTCTGGACTGCCTTTTTTAAAAGAAGGAGAAGGAAAGGAAACACAATCAGGATTCTGTTTGAGAAACTCGATGGTCACTGCTCCGTGGTCAGAGCTGCTGGCACCGCCACGGGTCCTGAACCGTGCCCGTCCCCGGCCGGCCGAGAGCACCTGTGGCCTCGTGGAAGACCCTTTCAGCCCCTGCCCTCAGGCACCACCTTCACTGAGGCTCCAGCGACCTTTCCTCAAAAGCACCTGTCACCTAAGTCCAAAGAAAGCTGAGGCACTGGGCGTGGCCTGGGAATGACTGCGAGAAGCAAATGATCTGGTTGGCCGGTTAGGCTTGGCTTCTGGTTTGGGGGTCCCCTCAGGAGGAGGGTGCTGAGAAGGGAGCACTGTCTCAGTTGCCCTGTCCTCTCCCTCCAGCTACCCTCCTTCCAGTGAACAAAAGGGAGGAGCCCTTGTCTGGGGGAGTCTGGGTAGCGGTCACACCCATCCTGTCCCACGGAGCTGCCTGCGGGAAGCTCTGGGTTAGAAGGGGAGCATTGGTTCTGCTCAGTGAACAGCCCAGTGGCACAGGTGATCGTCCGCACACAAACAGCCACTGCTATGGTGCGCCGATGGCATCACGGGTATGGGCGTAAGGACCACCTGGAGGGCATAAAACTGGGCTGGGAACTCCTCTTGGCTGGTGGTCTTCATTTTCTCTGCCTGCCCCAGGGCTGGTGACCGTGTGGCTCGGAAGTTAATGGCTCCCGAGAACCAGCCCCCCCACATGCAGGCCAGAAACCATTCCTGAAGGACCGGCCTTCCGGTCACTGACGGACTGGTTCTCTAGAACACGTGATGGCCTTCAGTCTCCTCTCTTTGCACTGCGGGGTTCTGTGGTTTTGGCAGAGGCTAGAATCAGGCAGACAGCAGCCATGCCCACCTTGTGCTGCTCTTCCCTGTTCATGTTTCTCCAGAGGGAACCCTTCCTCCCTCATGATGTTGGCCAGGGTGATTGGAGATGCCTCTCTAACTGCCCCCCTCACCTGGGACCATGGGAAGCAGTGCTCTGTTGACTTAGGGACCCCCAGGGTAACATGTGCAGTGAGAGGAAGGACAACCCCCAAACCCTGACAGCTGTCATGGGGCCCATTGTAGCCCCTTTTTCCCTCCTGACAGCTTGTAGGGCCCCCATCATGAAGCTCTGCCCGGCCTCCCACAATCGGTGTGGTCTCAGTTACCACAGTCTTTCCAGGTGATGGTTCCCTCTCTACCACACATGCCCAGGATTTAGGAGGATGCCAGTCTGACCTTCACAGCAAAGAGTTAACCAGACCCCACCCTGACCCAGCTGGCCGTTTACCCTCTGCAGGCATCCGCTTCTGCGGCCAGCACCACCCAGGGCTGTGCGTGTGCACGGGGCACGGGCAGCTCTTCAGGCAGTGCCCACCAGCCGCTGCACAGCTGTCCTGTGCTCTCCTCACAGCGCCTGGCACATGCTGCTGCCATCACTCGATCCTTTCTTCTTTGCTGAATCTTAATGGTTCTTGATGTGAGTAGAAGGACTGTTCAGGGGAAATGTGTGGCTGTAAGCATTCTCTTCCCAAAAGGCTTCCTGACGTCTGAATGTGCAGATGGTGTGGCGAAAGATGTAGGGCTCTTGCGTTTGACTTCTCTGCAGCGGGCACGTGTTCTGGGCGGAGCTGCCTGCCGTGCTCAGGGCCGAGTCTGTGCTTCCTCTAACGGGCTGCTGTGCTTCAGGCCACTGGCAGTGCCCTGGCAGGATGGGCAGGCCTTCCCCTGGCCCAGGAGAGAGTCCTAGGGGATCTCATTCCTTGACCTGGACTCCTCCCACCAAGGCCAGTGGCTTCTCTGCTGGCCTTGCTTCTTGGGCCTTTCTGATTCCCTGGGGACATGAGACCCAAGTCAGTTTCCCTGCAGCCCACCTGCCTCCCAGAGTGCTCTCCTGTGCAGTCTACTGTGCACGGAAGGAATCGGACACGTTCCCCTTCGCTTCCTGCAGAGCACCGTTTTCCACTTGCAGGGCTTCGGGTCGCACCTGCCATGCCAGTGGGAGCACCCACCCAGATGTGGGCAGTTTCAAACCCACTGTATGGGGCTCAGCAACCGCCGTGGACCACAGCGTAGCCCCTCTGCTGTCCCTTCCCTTCCTGAAGTCTGGAGGAAATTTGTAGAAATCTGTCCAAATTTCTTTTTTGCCACATTGATCTGACAGTTGAAAAATGTGTGTTAATTCCCAAGATGACAAATCAACATTAACTAGAGGTGGGAATCCTGGGAGAGATGGTCTGGCTGCTTTACAATGCTCTCCTTGTCTGGGAAAGCTGCTGTTTTCAAGTACAGGTTTAGTTTGTGTATATACATTTTCAAGTGGGCCTCTTGTCATGAAAGGAAAAGTGTGAAATTCCTCAGATCAAAATGTTTCCCTTCTGAGTTTCCTTTCTGAAAATGAGACCTTGTCCCGCCCCCCCCCCCCCCCCCCCCCCCGCCTGTCCACCACAGAACAGTGCCATCCACCAGCCAGACCTGCGTGCTCTTTCGAAATTGCTGTGTTCCTCCCAAAGGCCCTCGGAGCCCTGGAAAACCTTTAAAACTTTAGCCTTCATGTCAGATTAGAGAAACCAAACGGTGTGACGGTAGTTGTGGTGAGAACCTGAGTTTATTTTTCTCCTGCTTCCGAACGTGTACATTTGCTGAATGGAAACCGTGCTGTGTGCTTGACGAGTGGATGCTCGCTCTCCCTGTGCACAGCCAGTGTGTGAAGGTCACCTTAAATGAAATGACTTTTTTCTTCCCATTTGTCTGTTAATTCCCAAACCGGTTGCTTTTGCCGGTTGTCTGTACATAGTTTGTCTTTGTATAGGAGCGCGCGCTCGTGTTCTGATCCCACAGATGACGGCTGTATGAGGAAGACGATGTAAATAGAACACAAGTTAAACTGGATCTCTATGGCCTAGGTTTTGTACATACAGAAACTGCATGGTATTTAAATTATTGTTTGTCTCTGATGATGTATGCAGTTTCTTTAAAAACAAATCCAAAAAAAAGTCTAAAAAAACCATTTTATTGCCTCCTGTGTGTTGTATTAACGAGCAGCAGGAACCACAGAAAATATTTGGCTTGCCTGGGGAAGGGGGGGGGGGGGGGGGGGGGGGGGGGGGGACAGGACAGCCTCATACATCTGGTGTGATTGGGGAGGGAAGGGTTGTTGCACATGAATTAACTGTCTAGATAACATTTGTAAGCCACGACTATTTTGTTCCAAACATTTTCTTAAGAATGCACGGTCCAACTGTCCTTTAGTAATTGAATGGGCATTAACTCACAGCTCAGAGGCATCTGGGTAGTATCAGGCATCAGACAGCCTTAGGTCACAGCAGTGCCTTGGGGGGCCTTTGGAGTGACACTGCCCGGAAGCCAGAGCCTCAGACCATTTTACTCTTTGAATATCGACGTCTGACTTCTTCCTGGAGCATCCTGGGTGTTTGTCCTGTAAATCGAAGGTCGAAGGGAGCAAGAGGGGCTGCAGTACTTGCTGGCTGCACTTGAGGGGGTGAAATTGCTGGGTAACATATCCTTGGTCCGCAAACAGGAGTGTGGCTCTGGGAAGGAGGAACCTAGCACAGCACTGCCCTCTGATCCTCACTGGAAATCACCCTGGAGCTTGTCAAAGTGCAGGTGCCAACTCGGTAGGTCTGGGGGTGGAGGGTGGGGTCCTGAGAGTCCGTCCTTCTAACTAGCTCCCAGAGCATGCTGGGGCCCCTAATCCAGGAAGAGGTTGGGAGAACAATCCAAGGGGAGCCGCTCTTCCTTTGCCTGGGAATCTCCAGCCTCGAGGAAGACCACATACCGGTGAAGTCTGCTGAGAGCAGCGGCACAGCCCTGTGGGAAGTCGGCATCCTGCAGCACCGCATCTGAGTGTCTGCACGCGCTCAGCCCCACGGGCTCCGGGCCCAGATGCTGGGCAGGAGTGGCCACAGCAGGAGGGCGTGGGGTGTGCAGGACTTCCCATTCCAGGCTCCTCCTCAGTCTGCCTTCTCACCTCCAGAGCTCCCACTTCATACATGTAACTGTCAGAGTGTGGCTGCCGGTATCCAGGTGAGGGAAAGGGCCAGAGAGAAAAGCCTCGGCAGAACCCCCAACAGGCCCTGCCTTGTGATAGGGAAGGAAACTGGCCTCCATCCAGAAGGAGAGGGAGGGCGTGGCTGCACGTTCTCAGAAGGTGGAGGCGCTTGGTGTGTCCCCCTCAGACCTGTTTACACCGTCCTCGGCCGGAGGAGTGGTCTCCCGGTCGCGACATCTAACTGGACAAGTCACTGAATTTCCCGGAGCCTCTATGGGCTTGTCTGGAATGTGGGGGTCCTGAATTACAATAGATGTCCCCTATTTCTAAGGTTTAGGTTCATCTGAATTTTTAAGACACTAGACTTAGTGCTTAGGAAAGAGTAAGCTCCGGCTAAGCCCTGCCAAGGCAGCCTCTCAAAGAACAGTTGGGTTCCTCACCAGATCACCTGCAGGTCTGCCATGCCTGCCTGCGCCCCTCCCGGCCCTGGGTTGGCCACCTGGGCTGGTTGGTACTGAGACCTGCCTGCTCCCACACATCTTTTTGGGGCTTGTCCTGAAGCTGCAGGTAACTTTGCCTTGTCCTGCCTGTCCCTTCCTCTGAGCAAAGCACCCTGGAGGGGCTCATGGGCCTCGAGCAGTGACACTCACACACAGCCTGTTGCCCTCTCCCTCAGCCCAGCGAGGCACTGCAGAGACGTGGCCTTTGCACCTGCTCACTAATCTGATGAATGCTCCCTGGCTGGCTCTCCGTGGGTCCTGGGAGCAATCCTGGGCTCAGGTGACTGTAGCTACAGCTGCAGCTTGACTCTGCCTTAAGCTCCTGACCCAGGGGTCAGCTGTCAGACGTGAAGAGCCGAAGAGGGTGCTGAGCCCATATGCCCCTGGAGTCAAATTTTGGCTTCTCCCCTTATGAGCTGTGTAACTGGTCAACTTACTTAATCTCACTGTGCCTCAACTTCCTCATCTGTAAAATGGGAATGACCGCACCTATTTTGTAGGTAAAATGAAGCGATATACAATATAAAAGGGGCCTAGCACTGTCTGACATGAAGGCAGGCCTTAGTACAGGTTAGCTCTTATGCTTCCTTTGCATGTATGTCTCTCACAGGCACCTCAAACTCGGTATGTCCTAGCCCCATGGTCGGCAAACTGCGGCTCGCAAGCCACATGCGGCTCTGTGGCCCCTTAAGTGTGGCTTTTCCACAAAATACCATGGCCTGGGGAGTCTATTTTGAAGAAGTGGCATTAGAAGAAGTTTAAGGTAAAAAAAATGTGGCTCTCAAAAGAAATTTCAGTCGCTATACTGTTGATATTTGGCTCTGTTGACGAATGCGTTTGCCAGCCACTGGCCTAAACGATTGTTTCCATATCTTCAAACCCCACCCCTCCGCCCCTCCTGGGTCTCCTCTTACTCCCTTCTCCGGGGAAAGGCATTACCCAAAAGTCACCTCTTCTCCACTTCCAGCTGAAAGTGTGACAGACACCTGCCACCTGGCTCTGGGAGCCACTCCACCCCCTCTCACTGAGGCCTCCTCTCCACCTGATGACAGTAATAGTGCCTCCTCGCCTGCGGCGGCCACCTCTCCCATCCAGGCGCCCGAGTCCTCTAGCAAGCAGACATGCTCACACCACACTGCTGCCTGGCGTCTGCCGTGGCCCCCATGTCCTCCCCATAAAACCCAGCTCCAGTGTGCACCCTGGTGGCAGTGTGGGCCGCCCAGCCATGTCCTCCTGCACACGGGTCCGGGTAGGCTGCAGTGTGTGGCTCTGGATCCCTGGGGGTTGGGGGGTGAAGGGGTGGGGAAAGAGGGGTATGGTGCTGTACCAATCACCGCAGGAACAACCAGGTCCAACAAGGGGCCTCGGGGACTGAGTGCCTACGCTGCCCCGGATGGAGTCTGAGAGAGGCCTCCCTCAGGTGACCGTGGACTCCAGTGGGAAGCCAGGGCACTCATGCGTGCAACTGAGACCAAATAGCACGAACAAACGGCTGTCCCATGTGGTGTCTGATGCGTGCGCCCTGATTTCTAGCTCTGGCTCTCTGGGCCTCAGTTCCTATTCACACCGCCACTGGCTGCTCCCACACAAGAGACACTCAGCACACCCAGCTCTGTGCTACAGTTTTCACACGCGATTTTACTTAATCTTTAAATGCCTGTGGCCTCCAAACCCAGGTCTGTTTGATGCTAAAGCATTGCTCTCCCTCCCCCTGCCAGGCCTACACTCTCTGTTCACGCTTCCCAGCTTCTCTCCTATTATCCCAGCGGCCCACCTTAAGCAATCATGCCCTAAATGGTTTGGCTCAGTGGATAGAGCATCGGCTGTGGACTGAAGGGTCCCAGGTTCGATTCCAGTCAAAGGCATGTCCCTTGGTTGCGGGCACATCCACAGTAGCGGGTGTGCAAGAGGCAGCTGATCAAAGTTTCTCTCTCATTGATGTTTATAACTCTTCCCTCTCCCTTCCTCTCTGTAATAAATCAATAAAATATATATTTAGAAAAAATAAAAATAAATAAGCAATCCCATCAGTTTCCGAGACTGAGAACCCAGATCAGAAGAGACCCACTCTCACCAAGCCTGCAGGTCGCAGAAGCTGTTCCTTCACCCAGCAACCCCCCTCCCCTCCGTGCGCTGCCCCTCGGTGGGCAGGCTGATGCTCCCTGCAGTGGGAATCGGCCACAACCATGAGACAGTCAGCCAATATTTATGACTTCCTGCGAGACTTCCTGCGAGGGAAGTAACGTCACAGGAGGCACGTGCAGGGCCTGGGCCCTCCTAGAGCTGCGGTGAAGGCAGAGAGAACAGCATGTGGCTGGCGCCGGACAGGAAGAGCATCTGTCAATCAACCGCAGGCATACAGCCAGTCCCTGTCCTAAAGGCTACTTCTGGTAAGAAAGGGCCTGCCCTTTAGGTGCCATTGGTCAAGACACGCTCCTGAGGTCATAATAGCTGCAAGTCATCCAGCACTTTCATGGCGCAACGCCCCAGGTGACGGCGAGGCGCCCTGTTAATGAACCCGTTTGCAGAAGAGGCAGGAAGAGGAAACCGCGAAAGCAGAATTGAACCCGCTGTCCTTTCAGGCTTGGCAGCCAGTGACAACATGTGTGCTCCTCCTCCCTCACATGGGCTCACTGAGGTTCGGAGGTTCAGTGACTCCTACAGGGTAATGTCGCCACTGGTGTTGTTTCTTTAATAAAAAAAAAACAAGAGACAAATGGTGGGAGGGAAGGAGGAAGTTTCCACCTGTGGTCACCAACACCTTGTTGGGTGGGGGTCTCGGGGTCCAGGAGAGGCCATGTCTGTACGAGGCTGTGATTCCAGAGCCCCGCCCCCCAGCCCTCACCTCCATTCCAATACCTGTCTCTTCAGCTATGCAGGTAAAAATGCTTTACGCATCAGATGAGCTTACTGCCTCAGAAAGCTCCACCATGGACTGGATCAGGGTAAAGGGCTGGGTCCCAGCATCTCTGAGGATCTGCCCCGCTGTGCCACCTGGAACAGCCTATTCACCTGGCACCTGGGCCCCACTGAAGTCCTTGGCAGCCTCAGAAAAGCTCCAGTGTGGCCCTGGCCAGTGGCTCAGCTGGTTGAGCATAGTCCTGTGTACCAAAAGGTTATGAGTTCAATTTCCAGTCAGGGAACAAGCCTAGGTTGTGGGTTCTGTCTCCCATTGGGGTGCATACCAGAGGCAATAGGTCAACGCTTCTCCTCTCTCTCTCTCTCTCTTTACCCCCCCCCCCCGTCTCTTTCTCTCTTTTCCTCCCCTCCTCCCAACCCCCTTTGTCTCTCTCTAAACCAAATAGAAACATAGCCTCAGGATTTTTAAAAAAGCTCAGTGTGCTGGCTTTACAAGGCCCTGGGGGTAGCAACAATATCACCTGGCAAGAGGCTGATGGGGTGGAGGGGACACTTTTCCTAGCCGGCAATAAATGCTTACCGTCACTTGCACCAGGCCAGCCTCATCCCACTGCTAACACCCATCCACCTGGGGCAAC